AACTGAAAAAAAAAAATATTAAAAATTCTCTCTATCTCTCTCTCTCCTCTCCCACTCTCTCTCTAAAAAAAAAAAAAAAAAAAAAAAAAAAAAAGAATTCTTTTCTCACTAGCCAGCTCCTAATCTGAAACTGGGTCTTGATCAGGGATTGACAAACTTTTTCTGTAAAGATCCAGAAAGTAAATGTTTAAGGTTTTATTGGCAATAAGGTCTCTGTGGTAATTGCATAGGTTTACTATTGTAGCTCAACAGCAGCCATAAGTAATGTGTGAATGAATAGGCATGAATGTGTTCCAGGGAAACTATTTACAAAAAGAGGTAGAAGGCTGGATTTGACCCATGGCTATAGTTTGCCAATTCCTGGTCTGGATCAATGGGAGGGACATACGTTTGTTTTTTTAATTGGGAATATGACTAGGGAATGGGAACACATAAAAACCTTGCATTTGTCATTACTAATGTAATAGAAAAGGCAGGATTTTTATACTCATGTGTTTGAATCTGGCTCTGTGGCTTTGGACACATAAGAAAAACAAGCGTCAGTTTCCTCATCTGTAAAATGTACCTTGTGAGGTAGTACATGTACCTGATGCACAATGGACACTCAGGAAATGTTAGGGGCATTTCTCCTCTTTACTCACCACCTTCCATGTATTACCAGTAGGAGGAGACTTTTTTTTTTTTTTTTTTTTGTACCAGGGATTGAACTCAGGGCCATTCAATTACTGAGCCACATCCCCAGCTCTGTTTTGTATTTTATTTAGAGAGAGGGTTTCACTGAGTTGCTTAGCACCTCGCCATTGCTCAGGCTGACTTTGAACCCACAGTCCTCTTGTCTCAGCCTCCTGAGCCACTGGGACCATAGATGTGTGCCACTGTGCCCGGCAGGAGACCTCTTTTTAAGGTTTTTGGAATGCAGTGAGGACAGAGCTCAGTCAGACTTGTTAAATTCAAGAATCCAATTTCTAAGAATAAGATTTCATGTAAGTTATATAGATTAAGCTCCTGGAAACTTTAAAAATAGCCCTACTCCAACTCTTACGTGCACTATTCTAAACTTAAAACCACTCTACTGCCTAACAAAAATTGGGCTGGGGATGTGGCTCAAGAGGTAGCGCGCTCGCCTGGAATGCGTGTGGCCCGGGTTCTATCCTCCGCCACATACAAACAAAGATGTTGTGTCTGCCGAAAACTAAAAAATAAATATTAAAAATTCTCTCTCTTAAAACAAAACAAAAGAAAGGGTTCTCCAGTCAGTGGGCCTCATTAGACCTAGAAGCAATTTAGCCACCCTGTTTTATCAAGTTTACCACTCAGTATATACCTTGATTCCTAAATGGCTTCTCAACCTATTTCTTCCAAAGATACCTCTTGAGGAGAAGAGGTTTGTCCTTGTGTTCATGACTGTGTGTGTAATCATATATGTGTCTGTGCCTCAGATCTGTATTGTGATTATATGCTTAAATGTCTGTGGTGTGTTCTTGATGTAGGGGAGTGATTGACTGTAATTGATTGTGTGCCTAGGTATGTGTGTGGGACATGTGGCTGAGGGTGTTGGCACTTGTGTAATTTGGGTAACTGTTTTCTGGCTGTTTTCAGTTCATCCCTTTGTGGAGCTCAACTACATCAGGACCTGCAGGGGGCATCCTCTGCCTGGGGAAAATAGGATGTGGTTCTCCAGGCATGGGACCTCAGACTTGTGGGGCCTGCAGAGGGTGTCTAGGTATGGCCCACATGGGTATGTAGCTACTAGTCTGTGGAAGGGGGGCCCTGGGCTCTGGAACAGGCTGAGATATCTTGTTCCAGAAAGGAGCTGGAAGTGAGCAAGAAACAAAATGACTCAGCTTTTGAAAGTCCCTGATCTTAGGAAGGGGTCTGTTTCACTTTTCATCCTTCTCCAAATCTTCTGTCCATGTTCAGGGGGTCTCAACCTAGCCAGAGGGGCAGAGCTTGCCCTGCAGTCTAAGTGTGGGTGGAACATTGCACAGAACTTCCGGAGGTGAGATGATGGGACATTAGGATGGGGGGAGGGAGTCTTGAGCAATAGCACACCCTCCCTTCCCTACCTCCTATCCTCTGGAGCTTGAGCCAATGCCACTGCCAGGATTTCTTGAA